GCCGAATGCACTTCGTACGATCGCCCGCCAGCGATCCCAACCTTCTTGATCAGTTCTCGCTGCCGAGAATGCCAGTCCCGAGATCGCCCGATGATCCGCCGCACGACGAACGCAAGCTTGGACTTCAAGCTTGGCTAAGCTTGGCCCCCCCCTCTAAGCTGCTTAAGGAGAGGAGGAGTCCGGAGGGGTCTGGGGAGGAGGAGGAGGAGAGGCGAGGAGGAGAGGCAAGGAATCCAAGGAAGAGGAGGAGGCGAGGGCGGAGGAGGAGGAAGAAAGAGGGCATGAGAATGAGGAGTCGGAGGAAGGGGGCGAAGGGGATGAAGGAAGGGAAAATGAGGAAGAGGAGGAGGGGGCGGAAGAGGAGAAGGAAGGAGGAGTCCCCAGGAGGAGAAGCAGGAGTAAGCAGGAGGAATAATTTTTGAGAAAGGATGAAAGGAGGAGGGAGGAGGAGAAGGAGGAGGAGCGCTAGAGCTAGAGCCCTCTGGAGAGACGGCGGACAATGGCGAAAGCCAAAAGTATATTATTGGCGAGCTTGCGCCCCCATCGAGTGACGCTCAGCCCAGAGATCGGCACATCGAGCGCAGTCACCAGAGCATCGCTGCCTATGTGGCCGATGTTGCGTCGCATGGCGAGCTGGTACCCACCGTGCACGCTCAAGTTAATTCGTTTGGCACGTTCGCGCCTCTCTCTACCAAGCTTGCACCCCAACACTGCTGATACCCTGTCGCGTTCAACCTGGATCAGCCTGAACTCGGCCGTCGTCGCCCTATCCTTCCACTTCCTGTGCATGCCTCTCAAGCGGGAGACCTCTTTTGTCAACGCCCTGACCTTCTCTTGAGGAGTGAGCGCCAGGGCAGCGAGGACGATCGCCGCATCGTCGCCATCACCACCATCGGGAGCAACTCCAGGATGCGCCACCACGGCCAACGCTGGGGCGGGATCTGCCCGCGACAGAAGCACAGCTACCATTCGCCTCTCGATGCTCATGAGCGTGGCAGGAGAGACGGCGATTCCGACCCGGACCAGCGCCTCCCGGAGAAATACCAGACCAAGCTCGCCGCTCCCAGTGGCCGCCGCTGCGAAACTGACTGCGGCGTCGGCAGAGCGGCGAACGGCTGCAACCTCTGGCGAATGAAAATGTGCGATCTGATTCCTCCTCCTTTTCCCTCCTTCGTCCTTCTCTCCCTCCTCCTTCCTCTCCAGCAATGTTACGTTTCGTTCCTTATCCGCCCTCCTTTTCTTTCGTGCAACCTTCCTCGCCCCCCACATTATCCCCAGGGGGCCTGGGAGGGGCCATCGTCGTGGCCAGCTGCCAGCGCTGCCTGGCACAGCGCCGCCGCCACGGAAGCGCGCGAGGGAAAGCTGATCCCGTCGCGCGCGGCGTTCAGCTGGGCGTGCTGAGCAATGGCACGCGCTAAGTTCACGCCCATTGTCTTGAAGCCAAAAATGGCTGCCCCCCCGACAACCCTCCCAGCAGGAAGGCGGGGGGGCAGAGGAGGAGGAGGAGGATAGTGGAGGATGTCACGAGAAAAGGTGCCCCGCTGAGGGACAGTGAGAAACATATCACCTGACCAGAACAATGATATTGAAATAAAGGCCACACCGTCGACCTCCTCAAAACGCACATGCTTGCCAAAATGGGCAAGTAAAAAAACAGAGGCGCATCGAAATATACATGGCGCAACCGTTCGATCTACATCATAATCAACGGCCCCGGTGCCTCATTTTATACATGCCCTGGCAGTGTCCATACCTCCAAAAGCGAACTCTCATTTTTCATGCTATATGAGATTCCTTTAGGGCATGGAAAAATGAACGGCTCGTTGATTTGCGTCGTGCTGGGCGTCTCTCATCCGTCGCCGCTTTAGTGGGTGCTCACCCAAGGGGCTCCAAGACAGCCGCCAAAGGCAGCCAGAATTGCCCTAAGAGAGCGCCGCGGCGGCACCGATATGACGACGTTGATGGGGCGTCCCGCAGGCACCTAAAGCCAACGACTCGAGATCTTCGATGATTGATGCCCGTCGTCGTCAGCGTGTTTTTTTCCTCTCTATCCTTTATCTTTCCCTTCCTTGTCCTCCTCCTCCTCCTCGTCCCTCTTCTGTGACCTCCTCCTTTTTCTGTTCCTTCCCTGTTCCTGTGCATCGTCCGATTAATTACTCCTGCGCCCTTTTCTTTTCCCCAATGTAACGGTTGCCCTCGTTTTTTTCTTGCGTTGCATGTTGCTTCACATCGTTTTCATGCTTAGCGCAACTTGCTTGGGATTCGAGTCTACAAATGCTTTATTCTGCATGTTCTTGCCCCTCCTATTTCCTCATACTTCCTCCTGCTCCTTGATCCTCCCACCTCCTCCTACACCCTCGCTGGTGAGGGCGCGCGCTTCACGCGCGTTCCGCGCGGATCACTGGTGCGCCTTTTGCCTCCCTCAGGCTTCTTGTGCTTCTTCCTACCACCCCCAAGCTCCTCTTCCGTGTTCCTACCTGCTCATGCTCTTTCACGTTTCCAGTCTTTCTTATCACCATACTCCCTCTCTTCACCGTGTTCATCATGATTTTCATGTTCCGCCCTCCTCTCCTTTGCTCCGCTTCCTGCACCTCATCATCCGCGAATACGGATGCGGCTCGCTATTTTCGCCGCTTGCCCGATTACCCGGCCTTGATCAGGGCGACTCGCCTTGTGGTTGCTCATGGATTGGCTCGTGAGGATTTGAGCAACGCGTCAATGACTTCACCGGGCGTCTAGGTGTTATTGTTGGCGTCTGGGCGTTGCCGCCGGGGTTCGCCGCGGGCCAGTCTGATTGACAATTGCAAGCGGCGCGTTGGCAGGCATTCGCCTTCCTGGAGACATCTGTCTTGTTTCGCAGTGACCTTCTTTCGCACTGCTCTTGTTTTTTGCTTCCAGTTTGCGGCTGTATGTTTGTAGCCCTTGGCTGAGCTCCATCAGACGGCTATAATTCCGCTGCCCTCGCTCGATGTATGACCGCCCCCGCCGCAATGCTCGTTAACTTTCCGGTGGGCTGATCATTTGCGGTCTTGTCTGCAGTTGGACTGCGGGCGGAACGCAGGCGCCGCTTATGCGGCATTCCATTGTTCGTTTTCCTCTGAGGGCATCCGCAGTGGATTTTGCGCGCGTTTGTTTTGTTGTTGAGCAGATCAGTTCAATAAGATCTGTCGTTGTTCGGCACGACGCCACTGAAATGAAATTTCATAAGGAAAATATATCCACGCGTCCCTTCATAGCCCTTGGCGAAGCCAAGTAGTGCGTCTCCTTCGCAGCGAAGCGGCCCCTGTCCTTAAGGATCTGGAGCACCTTGTTGACGAACTCCTTCTTCACTTTGGCGGTCGGGGATGCCGGGTTGCAGTGCTCTTGCTTCGCCCGCGGCAACTGCTCGCCATCCAAGTTCGTGCGCGGCGTTTCGTCCTTGATGCGCTGCATCGCGCAGGCGCGCTCCTTCTGCTTCTGCGCCGCGTCGCCCTCGTCGACAGGCCCGCGCGTTGAGCTTGGGCGCTCGCGCCCCCAGCGGCGAAACAGCAGGCCGCCCACCCGCTCGAGCATGATCTGGAAAGCGCGCAAACTCTTGAACATATCTGGCCTGAAACCGATCAGGCGTCGCCCATGATGAGTTTGCTTTTTGTCTCGGCCATGGGGTGCCCATTGCCGAGGAACGTGACGCGCTTCAGGATGACGTGCGTTTGTGGGTCTGCAGGGTTCTTGCAAATCAGCATGTTCATAGTGCAAGGCAGCTCGTCCTCTGCGTCATTGTAGCCGAGAGGAGGCAACAGGTTTTTCATACCTGCCCTCAGCCATGCTCTTCTTCGCTTCATCCCACGCCGCTGCTTCCATCCCAGGCGCGTCGGTGATCACGTCGGCAACGGTCTTGAAATGCTGCCTCGGGTTTTAGTTCCAGCGCTTGATCGGCAAGTCGAACCAGGATGCGGCCCCGACGGGGTCGCCGCCCAAGTCGCCGTCCACGTCGGGCTTACAAAGGACAACAGGGCTATCCTTGATCTTTTCGTAATTCCAGACCTCCGCGAGCTCGTCGTTCGTGTGCTTGGGGCGTTCCATCCAAATACCTAAGCTCTTTATCCCCTGCGCTGGCACGTTCGCCGCTTCCCTCGCCGCCTTAGGGGGCGTGGCTAAGGAGGGGTAACGGGGTGCACTGGTCGGCCAGCCGGATTGTTGGCGCAGGCTGCGGACGATGCCAGTTGAGCCAGGGTTTGCTGCGGCATTCTGGAATTTCAAGCGGGGTGGAGGAGCGAGTGGAGCGGGGGCCAGACGCACGCTGTTTTGACGGCCTTAGAACCAATGTGCACGCCCGCACACATATCGCTTGGGCACTCGCTGCGCTGGCCCAACATTTCGTCGCGCGGGAAGCAGTGCGGGGCCAAGGTAGGCGGCGCGTGAGACGGAGATGTGCAATGCGTCTGCCGCGACCGACGGGCTCGCTCACTCGTGCTGCTGTCGGAACAGAGCAGTCAGCATCTTGCCCGTCTGCGCCCGCAAGTCTTCGCCCTTGTTCCAGTAGCACCACAGGAAGGACCTCGCCCTGTTTGCCAGCGCGCGGGGTTCACCTTGCGGCCGGGGCCAAGGTGGCGCCTCAACCCGCCCCAGACGTGGTCGATGATCTGGGACCCAGATGCGCATTTTCTTGTTGGAGCATCCACTGTCTGCAAGGTCATAATACCTGACCTTCGTGAAGGCTGGCTTCACCCATACGTACTTGCCGTTTACCTGCGAGGAGCAGCAAAGGGGCCGACTGTCCTTTGTCTGCGCCGACTCTGACAATGCACACATCGTACCTCTTGTCAAATGGTCGAGCGAAATGATTCTGTGGCAGAAAAGGGCACCGCCGCAATCGGCGTCGGCGAGGGATGGCCACCCTCCCCTCCTCCACCCACCCAACCACACACAAACACCATCGGCCTTCACGCGCTTCTTCATGTGGACGACCCAGTCGTGGACCACGCCGTCAACGCGGAGCTTGTGGGAGCGGGCGCCGTCTGCGTGGAGTATAACTTTGCTTTGCTTTAGCCGCTTCCTGGCCAGCGGGGCCCAGTCGCGCTTGCTGATCGGGCCTTGGCCTGGCGCCCTCCTCATTAGCTTCTCTGGGTGAAGTCGGCCGCCCTCCACTGCTTCTGGTTGTTCTTCAACGGAAGAGCCTTCTTTAAGTCAGCGATCTGTTTGTCCTCCTCCAATTCGCTTTGGGTGGGCGGCGTGAACCGCACCTCTCCAGTTGCTTTCGAGCGCGCGACAGCTTTGCCTGTCCTGGTCGCGCACTCCTCCCACTCCGCCGCCCGACTCTCCTGACGGATCCTGTCGTCGAAAGCCCTTTCCGTGCGCGTCTCCTGGAGCTGGCGTCCTGTCTTCTGCACCTCGGGCCCGTCCTTCTCCACCTCTTTGCTTTCCTCCTTTTTCACCTCCTCCGTTTCCTCGTTGGTCTTGCTGTTCTGTTTCGTCTATTCTTTGCTTTTCTTCACCCCCTTTCCCCTCTTGGTGCGCGTACCGGCAGTTGCTGCCTCGGTAGCAGACGCCTTGCGCGAACTTGCGGCAAAGCTCGTGGGGTTTCCTCTTGGGCCTGTGGAAGAAGGGGCAGTCGTCCCCCTTGGTGCAGAAAGCGTTGTTGTGGAACCAGCACGCAGGCCTCCAAGTGGAACTCTGCGGAGCCGCCTTTTTGGCCTCCACCCTCTCCTTCCAGGAAAGTTTGTTGTCCTTATTGTCCTCCTCCTTGCTCTTTTGATTGTCGTCCGTCGTGTTCTCCTTCTCGTCTCCCGTATTGTCTTTCTTCTCATGTCCCTTCCCCATCTTATCGTTTTTGTCTTTCTCGCTGTCCAACTTCCCGTCGTGCGCCAGCTTTGCTTCTTTGTACTGTTCCTGCTCGTCCTCTGGGTTCAACAGCCAGCCTTGCTTGGGCTTGAAGGTCCGCCGTTCTGCGATTGCCTCCGCCCACTGGCGCTTCTGGCGGGTGATCTCCTTTTGCGAAGGGGTTTTGGTCTTCTCGTGGTTGTCAGCCATCCCAAGTGTGTCTAGAAAAAAGCTAAGCTAAGCTGCAGCAGAAATCCTGCCTCCAGGGAGAGAGGGAGATATATAGAGAGAGAGAAAGAGAGCGAGAGAGAGAGAGAGAGAAAGTGAGGATGAGCATGTGGAGGAAAAGAGGGGGATGAGGAGGATGAGGAGGAGGAGTTCGAGGAGGATGAGAAGGATGAGGATTCGGAGGACGAAGAGGATGATGAGGATGAGCAGGCGGACGAGTAAAAGGAGGAGGGCGGAAGATGAGGGGTAGGAGAAAGAGGAGGAAAATGAGGATGAGGATGATGTGCAGGACTAGGAAAAAGGAGAGGGAAAAAGGATAGGTAGGATGAGCAGGAGGGAGAGGAGCAATAAGAAATGAACAATGAGCGGGGAGTCCAAATAATTTACTCAAACCTCACACCATAAAATTGGCAGCGGACTCTGCGCGACCCAACTTCGAGGGCGAGCGGATCAACCTTTAAAGGACGGGGAAAACCCATCTGGCAGGACCAGCATTGCCCCCGAACGACGGCGAACCTCGAGCACCGCGCCAGGAAGAGGAGCGAGTCAACTTTATCTTTCGTCCTCCTCCGTCCTCTCTCCTCCTCCTCCTCCTCCTCCATCCTTTCCTCCACGCTGTCATCCTTTGAATGCGTACCTCAATGCTGCCCCTTGGGAAGGACCGCAGGATGAAGATCATGACAGGGAGAAGGGAAAAGAGTATCATGGGAGGGGGCAGGAGGAAGATGAGCAGGAGGAGGAAGAGACAGATGATGAGGAGGATGACCCTCCCCCCCCCAGGCTGTCGCTGGGGGGTGCTGGGGGGGGGCGAGCATATACATGTATATATATATATACACATTCATCTGCACACACATCTTCGCGGAAGAGAGAGAGAGAGAGAGAGAGAGAGAGAGAGAGAGTGAATGAGTGAGAGAGATAGGAGTGATAGATGAGGGCCACTCAGAGCGCGTCCGAGCCGAACACACGGTTCAGGAACTCCATGCAAATTTTATTCACGGCGTGCTCTCGGCGCTTCTCCGGCCCCGGTTTGCGGCCCAGCAATTGCGCCTGGCCGACGTGCCTGGGGTGTTTAGGTCGTCCCGCGCGCCCGCTGGAAATTTCAGCTACAGCGAAATAACCAGACAACGAACGGGGCAACGTTAAGAGTGAGATAGGCTCAGGGGGGGACGCATCGTCCCCCAACCATGCATCTTCGACAGGGGCCTGATACCTCACCTCGCCCAGGAACGTGTAGAGTCGCTATCGGGGGCCCATCGGTGATGCATCGCCGATTCCCAGTCGATGTGCCCCCCCTGAAGCGGGTCCCCTTGTGATTGCCCTCAGGAACGCTCGCGGCCCCCGAACAGATCACGGCGATCGAGCAGATCATGCTGTCGATCGAGAAGGCCGAGAATGCGGGTTTGCCACCTCCCGCCGCGATCTCCGTGTCTTTGCCCGGTTTCCAGTTCCCCGCCGACGAGTTCTTCAGCGAGAAGGTCCCGAGGTTGTTGGCGGAGCCGGCCGTGCTTCCACAAGCGCAGGAGGCTTCGCAGGGGCAGGGGCCAGGCACCGGGATCCGCTCGTTCTTCCAGCAGGGCGCAGTTCAATTCTCCGTCGGCGCTTCCGAGCGGATCATCGAGGCGCAGATCTCGGAGGTGGTGTTTCGCGTCCCCCGCTCCGAGGACCAGGAGGACCCCAAGGAGCGGGAAGAGCACGACGTGAAGGAGGGAACCAGTGAGCAGGGCGACGGCGACAAGATCCCAGCTGTTGTCAGCCAGGAGCAATGATCGACGCTTCGTGTGTCCCTCCCCAGACGATTCTCGCTGGAAGAAATGTGGAGAAGCAGTGAACAACATGTTGCATTTGCCAAACCAACGGAGGGATAAACTCAAGCAGCTCTCTGAATGGCCAACGCGGGGTGTTCTGGGAGCCTCTTGGAGTCGCAGTGGGCCTTTCTCGGAGCTCTTGTGGGGTGCTTGTTTGCCTCCTTTGTGGGAGCTGCGCGGCCCCTCTGGAGGAAAACCGGCAGAAATAAGATGGCCCCTGATGAGCGTCGCCCTCGTTGGGTCCTCCTGGGCCACTCGGGGCCACCCTCAAGCATCAGATTGCTCATCAGAGGCAGAGGCGGCGAGAGGCCGGGCGTTTCGCGCTTCCACATTTCCGCCCGCGCGTGGCCCGGCAGATCCGGGCAGCGTTCATCCCCTAGCTTCTCCCAGATGTCACCCGGCAGATCCTGGCAGCGCGCATCCCCGTTGGTGTCTTCCGAGGCGTGACCCGGCACATCCATGAGGTCGCATGTCCGGGCATATCTGCATTTCCGTCCAAGCGTGACCCGGCACATCCGGGCAGCGCATGTCTACGATTCCTTCCAAGAGTGACCGGGCAGATCCAGGCAGCGCGCATCCGTTTTGTGTTTTTCCAGCCGTGAGACTGCATATCCGGGCAGCGCGTATTTGCATTTCCTCCCAAGCGTGACCCGGCACATCCGGGCAGCGCGCCGGCGCGTACTCTTATCCTGTTGCCCGAGGGTCGTTCTGATTGCTGCAGGCACGCGGGTTGAGCATTTGTTTCTTCTCCTTCTTGGGCCGTGCGATTCGGCGGCGACCGCTACCCGCACGAGCCTGCCATGCAGGCGCGAGCCCAATCTCCAACTTCTGGCGAGCCCTTTTACCCGAATGCGGTCGATTGTTAGCTAATTGCTCTAAGTTGTTATGCTTTCCCCTCCTGCAGATTCAGAGTGTTTTTCGAACCTGCATGCACGCAGGTTCGGAGTGTTTTTTTTGTGCTGTTGTTTTACGCCTTCTTCATCTTCATGATGGTGATGCTGATGATGCTGATGATGATGACAATGATGATGATGACGGCGATGATGACGGCGACGTTGACGGTGAACGTCGCTGATGATGGTTACGATGTGGATGATGATGATGATGATGGTGATGGTGATGATGATGATGAGGATGAAAAACCTTGTGCCCCGGATCATAATCACTCAGGGATAATAAAGTTCGGGGGTCTGGCGAGGATAATCAACGATTTACCCGGGGAAGGTGATGTTAGTTATAAATAATGATGATGATGATGATGACGATGATGATGAGGATGGTGATCCTGGGCGATCATGTAGATTGACCTAGTAGATTTTGGCATCAGACTGACTCGAGAGATCTCGAGGCTCGTGGCTACAACTGGCCTGCGCAAGCGAGGTCCTTGGCCCTTCTGGCCAAGAAACCTCTCTTGCGCACGCCGTGATTTGGGCAAACTGAACTGAAAAAATCCCACAGCCCTGCCACGCTCGTGATTGCGGAAGCTGATATGATGAGACCACCATGGCCATGCTCAGCGTTTTTGATGCTGTTGCTAGTCAGCATGATATGATAGCAAGTTCGATTCGCAACTTCTCCCGTGGATTATCAAGTTCGGCCTCCGCGACCCTCTCCACAATTGAATCCGATTGAGCCGGGATGAAACAATAGAGGGGAAAAAGAAGGGGTACATCTTTATCCAGGGCGCCCCTTTATCATCATTATTGAAAACAATCTAGCGGGGAGGCGTTTACGCCGCGCAGGGGGTAGTTTACTACTTCGCTCGGTGCCCATCGGTGCCGTCCTGCCCCGCGTGCCTAGGGCGCACCTGCCATGTCTTCGGAACGTGTCAGGTGCCGTCGTTGCCAGGGCTGACCTGCCTGGCCTGCCCGACTTGCCCGGCCTTTTCGGAGGCCGTCGGAGCGCCGGCCTGCCCGGCGTGCCCGGGCGCCCCGGAGGCGGCGCTGTGGTCTGACAGTGGCTGGGGTTTCGCCTGGGTCGTGATCGGCGTGATCGTCGGAGCTGCTGGGCCGGTGGCGCTGTTCGGCGGGCTCCAGGCGGCCCGCTGCTGCCAGCGCGGCGCGCCGCTGGGCCTCGAGGGATCGCCGTCGGAACCGCTCGTGAGCATCGACGATGGCAACGTGGGCGCTTGTGCTGTACATCGGGGCCGGCTTTCGTCAAGTGTGGCACCAGAGACTGGTGCTAGGAGTGGTGGCACTGTCGGGTGGTAGTCACATGATCGCGACCCCAGACCGACGCGTGTGCGCAGAGGACTGCGGCCCAGGCTCCGCGGACGTCGCGGCCGTGAGGTGGGCCCCTGCGTTCAACGTGTTGCCCGACGGCATCCCGCCCGGTGACGCGCGGCCGACGGCGGCGCAAGTGGCGGCCTTCACGGTGGCGGCGAAGGCCGAGGCGGCCACGGAGGCGGCGGCGCCCGCGGCGGCTAAGGGGGTCGCCGCGCCTGCGGCGGCCGCTGGGTGCCTGCTGCTGGTGGCGCAGCACCAGTCGTCGCCTGCTTTGCGGGGGGGGCTGCGCCGGCCCCCTGCGCCCCTCCGCCCGGGCCCGGGGGCGTGGCGCCAGCCGCCGCCTCGGCCCCTTCGCGTGCACCTCCGCCTGTGAGCCCGCTGCAAGGCGTGGGCGGCGCGGCGGGGCCAGAGGAGCGCCCGCCACGCGGGGTGGCCGCCGAGTTGTTCGGCGGGCACCAGCTGGGCGACGAGGACCAGCGCGTGGCGAGGGCGGGGGCCGTCGGCACCAAGGACATCCATGTCGTCCCCGACGGTTCGGGCCTCTTCGTGGTGTACCTTCGCCCCAACGACGAGGAGGCTTTCGTCGACGGGATCGCGGCCGCTGACGCGCGCGGATTCTGCCCGTGCGGCGGAACCCGCTCGGTCGGCGAGAATGGAGCTGGAGCGACATGTGCTCGATGGTCAGGAAGGGGGATTTCGGGCAGGACTGGGGGTTTCCAGGATGCCGCGCCGCGGTGCCTCGAGCATATTAGCGCGGAGGGAGGCAGCCTGGATGCACACCATGGTCGTTTCAGGTCGCCCTGCCGCCTCGAGCCGAGCGGGTGGGAAGTGGCCGAGCATCTCCAGCTCACTGGCGTCGTGAAGGCCGCCTTGCTGGTCGACCAGCTCGACGGGCCGCACCTCGCGTCGGCGGAGATGCTGCCGCCGCCTCGGGCGGGCGAAAGAACCGGGGTCGAAGGGGTGCAGCGGGCGCCTGGGCCTCGAGGGGCAGCAGGCGCTTGCGGGCCTCTGCCGAGGCTCGGGGCAGCTCATGATCTGCCCAGTCCTCCTGGATGTAGCGCGCGCTGACGTGGAGCAGGGGGCGCAGCTCAACGCGGCCCTCAGGACAGGGCTGCGAGGAGCGCGAGGTCAGCCGCAAGAGCGGGAGCAAGGACTGACCCCCCTGCATCCGCCCCGCTGACAGGCCGGCCTGTTCTGCGTTGACGGCGCGGCGCGGGCTTCTCGAGCCTTTCGCCCCCCCCCCCCCCCCCCCCCCCCCCTCTTCTTTTTGTCATCCTCATGCGAGGCCAGGCCTCGCCACAGACATTTGAAACCTCCAATTATGGTGGCGAACCCTCCCGGCAAGTGCCCCGCGACGTTTTGCCCTTGCCGCGCAGCGCGGTCGAGGGAGTCAGTGGCGCGGGTCAGGGTTGGCCCCGCGGTGCCCGACAGGCCTGGCAAGCGCGAGAGTTTCGAGCTGGACTGCGATCGAGCGGCCTGGGCTTCGACTTGTCAGCATCTTCGCCAGGGTCAGCCAGCCGTGGGAGCAGGCTCAGATCGTGCAGCTTTTGTTTCCCAGGGGCAGCGCCACTGTCCCGACCGAATACGGGGCTCGGCGGCCGCCCTCGGTCCGCCTCCGCCAGAGGTGGCCCCCGCAGAAGCTCTGGCGAAGCTTCGCGTGGCGAGCTGGCGCGACGCTGGCTCTGCCTCGCTCGACCCCTACAACCTCGCTGTCGCATCGCTGCCCTCTGGCGCGCCGTCGCCGGCGCAGCTGGGGGATCTGCGGGGCGCGGGCGGGTCGGATGTGATCGGGGGCTTCGCCCAGAGCAAATGGCCACCGCCGAGCAAGGCAGCGGCTCTTTTTAAGCGTGCTCAGGCGGCGGCGCCCCGCAGCGGCCCTAAGTTGCGAAGCGTTGCGGCCGTTGAGATTTTCAGCCGTGCCCTGCATCTGCGTTGCGTTGTCGACTTCGGTGTCTCTGAAAAGGAAAGGGTCGTGGTTTTCTGTGCGCTCAGGAAATGTGGGAAGTTCCGGCTCGTTGTAGACTGTCGCAGGAGTAAGTGTCATGTCCAAGACCCTGCCCCCGTTTCCCACCTCGCCGGCGAAGGCCTGGCTGGGTCGGAGCTCGGCGAGGGCGAGGGGCCCTGCGTCGGGGGCGCCGATCTTTCAGACGCCCTCTATCATGTGCAGCTGCCCCCCTCGCACAGTTTTTCTTTGGGGGGGGCTGCGCGGGCCGGGGCGGCGGGGCGCGCAAGGGCCGATGGGGAACCTGCTCCTCCGACGGCTATGGTGCGCCCCAGACTGGCGGTGATCCCCGCGGGCAGGAGATGCGTCAGACTGCGCGCGAGCGCATCGTTGAAGAAGCCGGAGCTTCCACCGATAATCACATTGTGGAAAAGCGAGCGCCGCCAGTTTTGATTCGCGAGCATGCCACTCACTGTGCGTCGACAATTTCATCGCCGTCTCCACCGACGCCGCCGACGCCCGCGCCGTCGTCGCCGACGCTATCCGAAGTCTCGAGGATCGGTGACTGGATGTTCATGAAGAAGAGTTTTCGGGGGAGGACAAGGTGGCCCAGGTGTTGGGGCGGCAGATCGACGGGCCCCAGGGCCGCGTCGTGCCGCCCCCGCTCGCCTCTGGAAGGCGCGCCTGGACGTTCGGGCGGTTTTCCCGAGGGGTGGGTGCTCTGGGCGCGACCTGGAGCGCCTGTTGGGCCACCTTGTCTTCCTCTCCCTGGCGCGCCGGGAGGGATTATCTCTCTTCTGGTCATCCTGCGCGTTAATCAGGAAGCATTGCTTCCACGAAGCACGGCTTTGGGCGTTGGTGCGTCGGGGGTTTGCTCTCTGGGATGGGCTCGATCCTCTTCTCTGGCGCGATCTTCGGGCTGGGTGGAGCGACGCCGTCGTGGCCGTCGACGCTGGCGAGCGGGGGCCGGGGGCGCCCGCCGCTCGCTGCGGGGCTCCTCTGGCGCGAAGCGTCGGCAGGACCTCCGAGCGTTGGCGGTGGGGCACGGTTGGCGCGGCCCTTGGTCCTCGTCGCCGCGCGCTGGACTTCGCTCGGGACGCAGATGCGGCGGCCGCCTCGTCTGGCGAGGCTCGCGAGGCGGCCCCCTGGATCGCCGCCGCCCAGGACGCCCCGGGGACCGAAGCCCCCGCTCGCCCTCACCCCCCCAATGTTTGTTCAGGCGCCCTGGAAAGCCCCGGGGATATGCAAGGCTTGTAGCGCATCGAGCGAGCTCGTCGTGTTCCCCGAGGCCCCGGGCAGATGATCTAGGTCGACTGGTCGGTCGCAGGGCGCTTCCCGCGGAGGCGCAGGGGGGGGGTCATCGCCGCGCGCGGAGCCCGGGCAACTCTTTATGGTTTCCGCATCTCCTCCGGTCCTCGAACATTTGGGGAATCATGCTTTGGCCTTTGGGGGCTCGCAGTCGACGGCGGGGGCAGCGACGAGGTCTGGGGGCGACAGCAGGGGCGCGATGAGGGCGACCCTACCGATCGCGGCCGCGTCGCTCGCTACTGGGCCCTCGCCGCATTATCGCCGGCCCCCTTCCGAGCGGAGTGTGACTGGCCCCCCGTCAGCTGGGTCCCAGCCGCTTCGGGGCCTCATTGACCTTGACAAGCATGCTCCTCCGCGCTCGCCCCTCGCCGCTGGCACGCCCGCCGCGACCGCGTGGGCGCCGTCCCGCGCCGGCCCCGCCGGGGGCTCCGCTGGCCCGGCGGGCGGCTCCGCGGGCGGCCGTGGCGGCGAGCCTCAGTTCGTCTGCGCCGGCCCGCGGCGGGCCACGCTGGCACCCCCCTGCCGCGGGGA